CCTGGCTATCTATTTGTAGTGTGTGCCTGATGAATTTTTTATTCCCCTTTAGGTGGAAAACTTGACTCGGAAAGCCCAGCTTCAAGAAGTTGAGTTGGAAAGAACAACTAAACAGTTAAAAGAAGCAATAGTAATTGCAAGCGAAGAAACTGCCAAATGCAAAGCAGCAAAGGAAGTGATAAAGTCGCTTACTGCTCAGGTAGAAACCCTAACCGCCAAGTCACTTTTATAAAGACAGTATTCCTATTACAGCCAGAAGCTCCCAATAATAAGGAAAATCTGTAAAACGGAAGCCTATACATTGATTTGATATAACTATCTACCTAACCTAAATTTAGTATCCTAATAAAATTTATGAATTAAACTCTTAGGACTTTAAGTATAATATTAACTGAATTTGGGAAAATATGAACACTTGCTGTTAGGCTCCATATCAATTTGAACAAAACTGGTGGATTTTTAATTTTAATTTTGAAGCTTGTGTCTCATGGATTTGCACTGGATATATCTGAACTAGTCTCATTAATCTTTACATTTTGTTTCTTGCTGAATAGTTGAAGGACATGGCTGAGCGGCTGCCTGTAGGAGCAGCTAGGAATGTCAGGTCACCACCCTCTCTTGCTTCCTTTGGCTCAAATCCTGGTTCCAACGACCTCGCCAATGCTTCCTTAGATCGATTGAATATTCTAGCAATAAGCCCAGAATCAGATTCAACTGGATCAAATAACCACTTACTTTCAAATGGATCAAGCACCACTGTCTCCAACCGCAGTGCTGGTCACAATAAACAGAGTCAATCAGATGCAACTAGCAGAAATGGGAGCAAAATAAAGGATACTGAGTCCCGTAATGAGACTGAATGGGTTGAGCAAGATGAATCCGGTGTATATATTACTCTTACCTCCCTACCTGGAGGTGTAATAGATCTTAAGAGAGTTCGGTTCAGGTATAAAATGCTGTATTGTACTATCATTTTTTCCTGCAACTTACATAACTTAATCTCCAAAATTTGGAAAGTAGAGTATGATATGCATATGTTGTTGAACATTGCGCCTTTGACAAGCAATTTCATACCAAAATGCTTTATTCTTTGATTTAGTTTGTGATGGGAAAGAAAGCGTGAATCGCAATTCAGATAACTTTGCTGTATTTCAACATCAACCATACTATACCTTGGGTTTTGACCTTTGCATTGGTTAATGCAGTCGGAAGCGGTTTAGTGAGAAACAAGCAGAACAATGGTGGGCTGAGAATCGGGCAAGGGTATATGAACAGTACAATGTGCGCATGATTGACAAGTCGACCATTGGTGTTGGGAGTGAGGACCTGGGTCATTGATGTGATAACATGTAAATGAGGTGTTTACCCCATTTTGGCTGTTATAGCAAGATCTTACTATCAGATACATTTGGCTTCCATCTAATATAAAAGCATTGAGGGAAGCTTGGACTGGCATAATAGGAGAGAATAGGGATTTGATTGTGATTTTGTAATTCCACTTCTTTCATTTTTCTTTTTCCTAATTTGATTTCACTTTCCATTTTTTCCCTATATGTAGCTTGTGTGGGGGTTGAGGGTGAGAAATGTAAATTCTTAGTAGGTTGCTGGCTCTTGTTAAAAGTAGCTGCAATGTAAATTTCATAAGCGAATGCATTTACTAATTTTTCTTCTGCACCAGTTATATAATACCCTAAGCCATGGGAGAGGCTCTAAGTAGTTAATATAGATAGTCCCTGGCAAATGCGTTGTTTTAATTTTCCTGCTCGTACAGTAATTCGTAGTATTACCATTCTCATTTTCATTTATCTGGGAATATTGGTTTGTGATTTCAAATATTTATCGATCAACTTGGCGTAGTCCTGCGTGTGTTATAAAATTATTTAGAGATTCTGCGACATAAATATTCATAGATAAGGTGTCAATTGGTATATTTTATAATTAATTTTTGTTAAATATAATTCTTTTGGTAATTTAAAATTTTACTTCAATTTTTATAATTTACATTAATTTATAACTCACTATATTAAATAATAATAAAAATATATATTTAATCAATACTCTTTTCAATCATGATTTAATTGTGGCTAAGGTTAAATACTTGGACAAGCCAATTGCGAATATTATCTGGATCAAAATAAAAACAAATCGATTATTGAAACGTTGACTGTTTAATACATGAAAGTGCTCTCTCTACATCTCATTTCATGTACCAAGTGCAAGCCAAACTTCTATTGAAACAAATCTGATTCAGTTTTGATTACCTTCAAATCAAGAAGAGCATAAAAATTTTTCCTCCTGAAACTTGCAACGTGTGAGTCAGTCTTGAGCTTACTTGGTTAAACCATTTTCTTGTTTGGGGTTGTCTGTTTTGGTTTGAGGGAAGACCCGTTTCCAACGAAGTATACACACTACAATAGCAACTTATGGAAACAAATCTTTAAATTTTCATTTTAAAATGCACTAATTTTACGTGTTTCTCAATAATCTACTGACTATATTGATTTTTTATTTTTTATATAAACACTAGTCATGTTGAATTATCTAACTACATATTTCACAACTTCTTTAGGCAACACCTTTTATTTGAGGTTCCCAACTCCATTTTTAACATGATTGCTGAAGTTAATATAAAACTTATTGGTCAGAAGAATCCTCAGATGTTAAAGAAATAAAAAGGGAAATGCTTAAACATTCCGTATGATTGTTGAAGGTCCTATGGTGTTTCTTTGGCATCAGTTTGATTCAAATTCTCTCGATTTCAAAAGTTCAGTATCTATTTGTTTTAGATCTTGATAGAATTGATTTTATTATGATTAATTTTAAACCATTAAACATAATTGAAACGTGAGCTTATGATATCACACTACGATAGTGTGTGGGTCAATTGGGAGGGACTGACAATTTCCTAGAGGAGGTATGAAGTAGAGGAAAACATGAATGGTGAGTAGACACGTTGATGCATTTTTGCATAACCAAATCTAACTAATAATTAAGAATTTTGGCTTCAGCGCTAACTCTAACTGGCCTCACATATGTTCTGTAAGTCATAGTAGCAGCGTCAAAAAAGTCCCACATGGAGGAGTACAGGTGAAGTAGTGAGGAGAGTGTGCTATAAAACAGAAGGGTGTGGCAATGAGCAACATACTTACCTGGACGGGGTCTATGGGTGATCATGAAGGCCCATGGCCTAGAGCAGTGACTTCCATTGCACTTAGGAAGGGTGCTGCCCTAAGGTCTGCCCAAGTGGCAGAGCCTACGTCATAATTTGTGGCAGAGTGGGCCTGCGTTCGCGCGGCCCCTACTAAGTTATTTAAAAAATTTTATTATGTTGTTTGCTGAAATGGTAAAAAATTTTCCCTTGGAATAATTTGAGTAGATAATACTATTTTAAAACTCTTTCGCTAATAGGAACCTGATCCGTTATTGTCTTGAATAGTCTTTCTCTGCCTGTGGGTACAAAAATATACAAAGATGAAAAATAATAATCTGTGGACGTGCCGCTAAATTCTGAACTAGAAATATTAATGCTAAAATGTTAAAATTTCAAACTCTTGCACAATGTTCTGATAATGATTATTTTCAATATTAATTAGTGGATCAAATAATTTCGTGTTTTAGTTTCGGTGGAGGAAACGTTGATTCCAGTGAACACTGATTTTTAAAGCTATATTTTATATTTTACCTGTACCTTTCCTTGCTTGTTGGCGTCAAGAAAGTTCATATTTCACCAAGATTCGTGCACGTTTAATATAGTTTTATAATATTTAGAAGGTATAGTAATCAACACTTCCGTTGTCGTCCAGCGGTTAGGATGTCTGGCTTTCACCCAGGAGACCCGGGTTCGATTCCCGGCAACGGAATTATTGTTTTTCAATGGTATTTATGTGTAGGTGTACTTAAACTGTTTTATGTATTTTCAATGCTTACATATTGTAGGTAGTAATAATAAGGAGCAATTTTCCCTTCCACAGCTAACTCAATCCAATAATATGTAATCCTTACTTAACCCATTTTTGTATGATGTTTTATTCCTAATTTAATTTTTCATATTTAAGAAGTTACCAAATATTATTTTTTAATAAATTATGGGAATATGAAGTTTAAAAATTACCAATCACAATTTTTGACGTAGATACAAAAATTTAAAGATAAAAAAAATGGTAAAGTCTAAAAAATCTGGCAATTTTTCAAAAAATAAAATAAAATCAAAATTCGTTAATGATGATTTTTAAAATAATAAAATATTTGAAAAGTACCAAAAGTCTCCATAGCCAATTTTTGAAAAAAAAAATCCATATTTTTGTAATTTCACCAAAAATTCATTTTTGTAATTAAAAAATCATAAAAAAATGAGCTGCAAGATACATACCCATGAAAATAAAATAAAGACAATTAAAATACATTATAGTTACTTCCTTCAGTCCTATTTATAGAAAATATAATTGAATATTTTTTTAATCTTAATTATAAAAAATATATAATATATTTAAGATACATTAATTTTTAAATTTTTTTATATCTTTTTTATTATTAAATATATGTTTACAGATAATGACTATATTAATTATATTATTTAATATCATAAGTATCTTTAAAATAAAATTTATAATTGTAAAACAGATAATTAAATTAATTACTTTTCTTAGTACTAGTAATTTAGTGTTTTGTTTCTTGTAAATAGGTTAGTAGTCAAATTTTACTTCTTTTTCCTTTGGTACAATGATTTATGATATATACCGGAGAAAGAAAAATAAAGACACCATCGAAACACATTACAGAAGTATATTATTCTGGTTTAAGACTACTTTTTTTTTCCCCTTTTGGTGCATTGACGGCAAATGAGGTTGATCAATTACCTCCCACTAACTATTAAAACCCCTCATCAATAGGGCATCACAAATGTCCTTTGCGTCCATCGAACCTTGCCTTAATTTGAAGACATAAACAAATTGAAAATGCTTAGTAGAGGGAGCATTGGAAGTGTTCCCTGAGTCAATGCATCACCTATCTGAAGGAGCTCTATAAAAAGATGGAATGGTTGCGGGGAAGAACATTTGCCTTATTCCTTCAGCCTTGATGATGGGAAATATTATGCCTGATGCACACTGGAAGATATTCATCGGTAAGAATAACAGAACTGTAATTACGTAAATATACGTTACTACGACAATGGCAACGGACACTGCCCAAGAAACATTTACCTTCGTTGTTATGAAATTGTTTTGGGATGAAAATTAATGAATAGGGGTTGGTAAACTTAAGAGATACAGAGGAAGAAAGAAGAACGTAAGCGAGACAGAAGGGAACTGCTATTAAGTAGAAATGCATGTTCACTTAATAAGAAAAACAGGGGCATCAAGCCAATAGTAAGGCAACAAAATCCATATGGGTTAGAGGAACTAACCAAAATTAATCTAGCACCAATCCACATGCGTTTAAATGAGGGAAATGGTAAGAGCAAGCGACCAACTCCGTAGAATGCAACAGCGAAAAAATGGAATACTAAACTCAGAGGGCAAGGATTTAGACCAGAGAGTAAAGCAATGGGTCCCCTTGAAAAATTATTTCCGAGGCTCAGGTAGTCAAAACATGCTTGGTGCAGTTCCTTTCTGGCGTCATCAGGTGAAGCAGAAAAAACCTTATATAGGGCACCTGCCAAAATATTTACGGTGGATGCCATAGGCTGCAAAAAGCATGTCAAGTTCATGAGTTGAAATCCAAATGCCGTGAAGATTAAATAATCTAAAATTACTGTCATATTTACACTTAGAAATTTAATATAAATTCATTCATGGGTCCCCACTCTTCATCTAACAGCTTAAGCTTTTGGAATAGTTGGTTCGTAAATGATATCAAAACCATTATAACTAAGGAGTTTGAAGTTCAATCCTTTTCATCCCATTCCTCTAGGACAAAAGTTGAATTCTGGCACAAGATCTGTAACCCAAGGGGCTCTAGTGCGAGGGGGCATGTAAGAAATATAAAACCATTCATGTGTCTTCAACTAACAGCTTAAACTTTTGGGATAATTGGTTTATGATATTTACTATCATAACGGTCTCCTTGGACGTGTACAATGCCACAAATATTTCCAAACAGACATCGTTAGGCATCCATTAAACATTCTATATGAACCGATTTAAAAGATGAGACATAAATTCCAGTTTCCCTTGAATAAGCCAAAAAGGGAATACTACTCACCTTGCGTAAGATGTAAAAGGATTCTAGATATCTGCAAAGTGAAGTTGCATCATCCAAGTCATGAAGGGGCTTAAGAAGACCCCGCAACACAACAATATCAGACAGTGCCACTGTCATTCCTCCACCAGTCAATGGATGACGCATGTTGAAAGCATCACCCATTAACAGAGCTCCAGGAGTAGGATAGGGATCAGCTGGCATGCTACCGTTAGGCATGGTTCTAATATTTCCTCTATTAATTGCAGATATGAAAGCATCATGAAGCTCAGGCAGAATCTGGACAAAAGAAAAATTAAGATACATAGGAGGTTGAAGAAATAAATTATTTTGCATATTAGTAGACTGCAAGTAATGGTAAATCATAACTTGACTATTATCCACAAGTCAAGCAGCATCATAACAGATACCTGGGGAGCCACCACAGTCTTCAGGTAATTGGCCATTCTGCCATTACCAAGAGGAGGAAGTTTTTGACCAGGTATATCAACTAAGCAACGAACCTCAGTGCTGCTAATACGATAAAGTAAGATGGGGGAAGGATCAGCCAGAATCACATGCCCATGATTTTCAAATGGGAGATGACAATTCTCCAGGACTAAACCCACGAAACAAGAGCATACATCTACCTGGCAAGTATTCAATAATATATCAGGGAAGTCAAGCAAACTCATGCAAAACAGACAAAATCCTCTAGATATCAGAATATCAACAAACTGTCTTGAATTAATCATAAGCATTTCTATTGTCATTAAAAGGGAAAAATAATATTGTCACTCAAATTATTTAGAATATAATTTAACCTTGGGGTGGCAGAGAGAGTGACGCAGATTTGAGAAGCAGCCATCACAAACAATTGTGAAGGGAGCATATGCTTTAAGCTCTTGGCCATCTTTAGTTTTGTACTGAACCCCAATAACAGTTTTATTATCTTGTTCAAGAAGAGATGTTACAGTGCCTTGCTCCATTCTTACACTGAACATTAAAAAAATGCACATGATTTTATCAGACAAAAACAATACTGCACAAACAGCAATTTCAAAGGAAAACTAGCCAGCTTTTGGCTCATTTTATAGACGAATAAATAATTTTAATAACCAAATCAACAATCACAATAGAACAAGGATTACTTGTGGAGAGCAGCAGCTTTTTCTCTGATCCTTTGTATAAACCGTCCATTGTGAAAGCTCCTACCAGCCACATCAGCATGAAACTTTTCCAAAGGATAAGGCAGCATAGATTTTTTCCCATCCTTGAAAAGAACATATCCTAGCACCCTTTGGGCATCGATTTGCTCCACGCAGTCTGATGCAGAAGAATATGAGCAGCACATTTTAAAACAATAACTTATGAAAGAGAATAGTATCGTGCAGCCAGGTTAACTTCCACCACCATTAAGCATATGCTAATTTCAGTGGCATAAGTCAAAGAACACACAATAAATTAAGAGAAAGAAATTATGTTCATGAAAACATTATCTGTTGGGCCTGAGAAAATTGGGTCTCCATTGAAGACATATAATAAAAGGAGAAATAACCATAAAGGTAAGATGGAGAATGTAAGCAAGGAGTCTGTTATAAGGGATTCTAACAAACTAAATACGCGGCATGAAAGGAATGGTGCGGATAATGTGGGAATCAGCCGAGCGAAGGGATAATATGAAAGGAGGGATGGAGGGGGGAGGGGAGAGGCAGGAAATATTTCCAAGTAATTTAGGGGTGGCTTTTGTCATAGGGTGGAGAGATCTCCCTTTCTCAGTAGTTTTCTTTTGTTTTTCTTGCTGTTAGCAGTTCTGTCTCGTGTGTAAATCAAGGATTAATTCCTGAGTTGGTCTATTAATCCAATTTTGCATTCAGTTCCTATCAAGTTGGTATCAAAGCTCCTGATTCTAGGAGTGTCTGATGGTATCTACTAGAATGGAGAATTAGTTGGAGAGTGTCGAACGTTGGTTGGAGGAAATGCAAGCTTCCATTCAAGAGGAGATGAATGAGATGATGAGGGTGATGACAAAAAGGTTTGAGGCGGCTATGAGGTAGGTTAGAACAGAGAGAGAAGGTAAAAACAGTAATCAAGAAAAACCTTTCTGGTTTTTCTATTTGATGAATGTGGATAGACAGGACTCCATTTTTTATTTTACAACTTTGTGTTGTCTATATTTTGTAGTAAAATTCTGACCTAAAAACCAGACTGTTTCCAGTAATTAATACAAATTTCAGTCTGTTTACTCTTGAGTTTAAGACAAAATTAGGCAGGTTTAACAGCATGTAAGAATATCAATAAGCTGAATATATAACAGAAGAGCAAACAAGAAAGGTGCAAAATGTCTCCAGAGAGGAACTTAATTTCACCAATCAAGTATTTGGGTATATATAAATATATCATGAGAAAAGAGACCACATCCAACCTTAGTCCTTGAATAATCTAGTATCCTTATTTGATACATACCTTCTAACCCCAATTCAATTAGCTTTAGGTATCCTCCTGGCTGGAGAAGTTCACCAACAATTCTGTCTACCTCTCTCAAGTCTCTCTCAATAACACGGACACGCCTTCCATCCTTCAAAAAATTTCAATACATACATGCTTATGGAAGGGTAACCAATCCAAACAATCCTTTTCCTTTTGCATTAATCTACTTTCCCAAAGTCAAAGCAAGAGAGATGCTGACAATTGATTAAACCGTCTTTGAGAATTCAAAAATATAAAATGATGACAAATCCTAACTCAGACTACAGCAAAAAAAGAGGTCCATTCAAGCCTAACATAACACATGAAAATCATCACCGACGTAAGATATACAGAGCTATCTTCCATAAGGATACAAAAAATTCCAAATTGATATCCCTTTCTCACAATATATTATGGGCCTACCTTTTATAGAAACAGGAGAATGCAATATTTGTACACAGTTTTCAAGGTTACAAACAGAACATGCTACAGGTGAGAAGAGAATGGCCAAGAAAAGTAATAAGATATTCCTATTATTGTCAAAGCTTCAAGCATGGCAAGCTCCATTACTAAACACCACAAAGCAACCTTTACCATTATTTTGTGTCATCACACTGTAGTAGATATTCCCGATCTAACTATTTGTAATATATTAAATCTGAAGATCAGGATCTACTTTTTACACCTCAAATTTATTATGATGCGTCATCAACATTTTATTATGATCCTTGACTTCTTATTCAGAGAATTTCAGTTTTGTTGTCAAAAGTTTATTTCTTAAAATTTGATGCATGTCACACAAGTCATGAAGGAATGGACGTTGATCAAATTTATTTCTTATTTTTAATGCTATGACAAGTAAAGTGTAGAAAGAGGTTCACACTTTCAAAGAATAAGTGAGAGAAATGAAGACGCCAGTCATTGCAAGTGATGCACTAATCTTTCTTTCATATTCACTGTCAAATTTTTGGAACCAACAGTTCTGAGTTTTCATTCTGCAATAGCTTCATTATCTGCAATATGCTCAACAAGTTGATTCAGGTCTATTCTTAAGGTGCCTTCTCTTTCGATTTCTGTGTTTTAAGCTCCTTCCCATTTATATTCATTCCCTGGTGTCTATCATATTTCTGTGGTTTTTGTGCTCCATTGAAAAATGGTTGCTGAATCTTTGCCAATGGACACTGGTTTCCATGAGCTTTCTTTTTATTTTATCAATTGCTTAGGCAATGGAAACATTACATCAACGGCTTGGAAGGTCAATTTTGGTTTATCAAGATTATCCTACAATTTATTCCATTCTAACTTATTTAAATATTATAATTTTTTCTAGATGGGATTTGACATATGACCATGAGCTTAAAGACCAGTGAAGAACATGCAATTTTCAAGCTTATTTCATACAAATTCTAAGACTATTTCTTCCCCTTTTATGCCATGGCCTCTAAATAAAATTTCAAAATACACAGTAGCGATTGGCTATTGTCATGGACAACAACTCCAAGCAAACATTGCCAACAATGACAAGTATTCAAATTTTAAAGTCCCCACTTAAAAAGAGCTTTACCTTATTGTCATCCGTATGAAGTTGTGTAAGCAATTGCTAAAATCCATAAAACAAAAAATAAAATAAATGTAGTTTCAATCATAGACAAGAAAATTCTCATTTCAATTAAACTAACCATAAAATTAGAGCATTGTCATGCTACTTTTAAGATATTTTAGAAACTTTTAAATTATTGTATTTAACTTTTAGATTTTAAAAGAGAAATTCTTTCGGTTCAAGCCTGTATGTAATTTATATTTTGTTTCTGATTGCTTCCTAATATTTGAGGTACCTTTTCAATTCATTCATTTTTTTATCATTTAAAAAGCATAAGCTAAAATATGTAACAACAAATAGACCAAAAAAAAATTACGAGTAAACTATCATTTTGGTCTCTACTCTTTTAAAATTTGTCAAAATAGTGTTTAAACTAAGCAAATAAGTCATTTTAGTCCATTACTTATGTAATCATTAATCATTTTAATCTTTATTATTTTTGAAATTTATCAAAATAGTGCCTAAACTGTGTAACAATTTTAAAATAATTGTAACTAGTTTAAAAAACTTTATAACTAAATCTTGGTCTGGAGATGTGAAACCCCACAATTATATGAGCTGCATATTTTTGAAACTAAATCTTATAGAACTGTCAAAAGAGAAAGGCAACAACTAAGTATCGCACGCTGTCCAAGTGAAACCAATTACTAAGTTTTTAAGACTGTTGCGGTTTAATATTGGCACAACTAGTATCGTACACTAACAAAAGATACTTAGTAAAGCTAATATGTTATTTTAATAAAGGAGAAAAAGTTTTCATACAGATACAAGATATAAAATGATTGACGACAGTATATGATGGACACTAATTGATTAACGATTATTGTTGATGACTAAAATGACATTTGCCTTTAGTTAAAAGACTATTTTGATGAATTAACTAAAATAATTTATGATTAAATATGTTGGGGATTAGAATGTCGTTTTGTATAATTTAGGACTATTTTGACAAATTCCAAAAAAAATTGGTACTGAAACGATAGTTTACTAAAAAAAATCACACCTAATCACACAGCAAATAATATACCAAATTACATCATAAAATTACGAAGTAATATTATCAAATCATAATTATTTCAAACCCATAAATATAAAATAACAAACTACAATTATATTTTATAATTTTAAGACTACATTATTCAATACTTAAAATTTCAAAGACTTAGATACACGTTAAAAATGTTTCTTTGTTTCTTTTCGTTGTTTACCAAAAAAAGAAAAAAAGATACACGTTAAAAAAATTGTAAATTTTAGGCCAGTAACAACAAATTCATAGTCATTCAAACAGAATCTAGTGAAGTTACAGCTACAAGCATTAAAATAAACAATTGGCGGTCTTTTAAACGTGAATCCAAGCCGCTGCACGAGTCCAATTTTACGAAACGAACCGAAAAGGAAAATGAAACGCACCTTGGCAAGGGTGTGAGCGAGGGCGGAACTGAGAGGTAGATCCGTTTGTGTTGCATTGCGACGGAAAGTGACTGTTGTTCTGAGGTGGTGGTTATGGAAGAAAAGAGGTGTGTGAAGTTTTTTATAACTGAATTTGAATGTCCACTGACACGTGACTAGTGATTGTGAAGCAATAGCAAGCATTGTGGAAGAGACGCACGCGCATCGTAATTCAATTAAACTGTGGTTTCATAATTCAAGCAATTTTTTTATACAGTAAGTTTGAGTGAGTTCAGTCACAGTAGTCATCAAGGTCAGCTTTCAGATCTTGCCCATTGGAACCCATGCTTTCATAACAAGCAACATTCATTAATACTGGTAAAAACAATTACATACAATAAATATTAATATTATTCTAAAAATATTTATCACATTCAATAACTAAATTATTAATTTACATAGAAAATAATTGAGTATGACTTGCATAAAAAATAAGTGAGTGCTTAATTAATATAATTTTATAATAAATTAAAGATATAAAAAGAATTTAATAATTTGAAAATAAAACTTTATTTCTTATAATTAGGATAAGAAATTTTTGACCATTTTTTTTTATAAATAAGGCCAAAAATACTACTTGCTTAAAAAACAAAACGATATAAAAAAATTTCAATTTAGTCCATCGTTTAACTTAATTTACAAAAGAAAAAAAATATTGAAATTAATATATGAAGGTGTGGTATTTCATTTATTACAATTCTTTAAAAATAAAAAGAGTCTTTAAATTTAAATTATGATTGGTAACATAAGTTTATAGTTTATTTAGGAGCTTATAATTTATTTTTTAAAAATAAACTAGTAAAATTGTTTGCTAGTAATAAAATAGAAAGAGCTTCTAACTTAAGAAAAAATTTAACTTTTGAAAAATTTATTGAAATTGCATTTAATTTATTGAAGTTGAAAATTTTTATCTCATTTATTCTTATATTTTTAAATAAATTAAATATAGACAAAAGTTATAAATCTCTCATTTAATTTTATTATATGATCTATTATTTATTTTAGTCATTTATCTAAAAATTTTTAATTACAAAGATAGAAACATGATATGATTAAATGCAACGTAAGACGCTATGTATTATTTTAATTACATTATATATTTTTTTTAAGTTTAAGAGTATCATTTGAAAATATAAAAAAAAATATTTTAAAAACAAAAGCAGGTCATATAAGAAATATAAAATAAGAGGTTAAATTCTTAAAAATTAATACAATCTATATTATATTATGATTTATTAAAACATTTTATGTACTTATCACTTTAATAAAAAAAAATGCTAGTCAATAAAAATGATCTAAAACCATCCAAAAAAAAGTTTATTATTTAATTTATATTTTTTAGATTAATCACAATTCTATATTCACACTATGTCAAAGATCATATTCTGTAGCACGTTAAGTAGCATATACCTACATATTCAACTTCTATTCTTGCTAATTATAGAGATCAAATTATATAATCATTTTTACTAAAAAAATATTTTTTAATAAAATATGATACTAATAATACAAAAATAAAAAATTTACATTTAAAATAAAAACTGACAAGATTTTAGAAAAGTATGTTATATTAAAAACTATGAAGAGGGTTAACAAAAATTTTTAAAAGTAATTTATTTCTTGAATTAACTACAATTAGATGAAAATATTAAGGAAATTATGATTATGATAAAAAGAATTGTCTATCATTAGAATTACATAATTAACTATATAACTAACTAAATTATGTATTTACATAATAGAATGTCAGTTAATCTCCATAGAAATGGAAACATGACTCCATAAACACAATGTAACAAGTTAATGAATAATTTTGTTTAATTAAATTGTATTTAACGTGTCCCATTTTCATTTCTTTGGGAGAGTTAACTAACAAATTTTAAATAAGCACTAAATGAATAAAATATCATATTTCCATGAACTAATTTTAATATTTTTTTAAGAACTAAATTGAAGGACTTGTTATCTTTTAGGAACTAAAATGAATGATACACCACACTTTGAATGATTAATTTTAATATTCAAGGATTAAATTGAAGACTATCTTTTAGAGATTAAAAAATATGACATTACATATTCAAAAACTAATTTTAATATTTCTTTTTTTTCAAGACTAAATTGAATGACTCCCTATCTTTCAAGAATCAACATGAGCAAAAATCGAGTGAGGATGAACATGCTCGGACGAATGAGTGGGCATACAAAACAACTTTATCAGACAGCAAATTGATTAATTTTTTAATATGAATGTATCAAGAAGAACTCTGGACAAAATATTTATCAAAGATATATACAAATAATTACCACATTTATTCCTTTCTGTCCATACCTTAAACAAGACTTAGTACAACAGTAAATTTCATTTTTTCCATTGTTTTCTTCACTCTCCTCTTGCTCTCTCTTTCCCTGACATAAATTAAGATTAGGAGGTAAATAAAACCTATGGTGAAAAGCTGCAGTTGTACCACAACAGATAACAAGCTGGACTATGTGTTGGATCCCTGGCAAACTTGACTATTTCCCTAGCTTATTTGGGTCCAATAGACACATCACATAGCTGCAGAGGAGGAGCATTTTTGCTCAAAACTTTGGCATGCTTCAGTAGATCTGTACAAAACTGAAAACACAATCTCAGACCTGAAGACTTCACTTCTTGATACATAGAAAATGCCAAAAAAGTGCTAATAAAACAATAAACTAATTACATTACCCAACTCCCTTAGAGTAGTTTCAAAGTGGGCCTTCAATCTGAAATGGAAAAAACAATTTTTAAGACTACTATCCGAAAATGATTAGAAACTACAATTATTTTGACCAATTATGTTCTGATACCTCAGAAAAAAAAATGCAGCTTCTCTAACATCATCTAATTAAGTCTCCTTTAGTCAAATAAAAACAAATAGCGTCATTTGATTTCCATTCAATTGAATGGCTTGACCAAATTCTTGCCTTAGATCACTCCTCCAGGATTCGTACAGATTTTACGTCAAGCTTCACTGATGCACATTACAACTTCTGACGGCCTCCACCCCATTGCCGTTGTCTAGCCCGCCTCTTCCTCCCATCCTTTTTCTCCTTTGCCTTTTCTTTCAAGTCCCTCTCTCCTCTCCTTTTATACATCTTGAAAGTGATCTGCCTATCAGCTGCCATTTTCCTTACCTTCTCTGTGATCTCTGCTGCAAATTGTCTGTTATATAATTTCCTCAGACCTCGCATAAGCTTTGCAAAAGTATCTGGCTGTGGCATTAAATCCATATCCATCATGTCGATGCAGAATGAACAAGCTTCCTTCACATGTCCTTTTGAAAAGAGTGCATGAATCCAGATTGTCCATGCACTGACATTCAGCTGACATCCTTTAGAAGAAGTGATACAATTCCAAGTATCTTTAGCCATTTCAAGCTTCTCAGCTCTTAGAAGAGAATTCATCAACTCCTTCAAGGTACCATATTGAGGAGCAGTAAAAAGCCCTCTCCCAACCATGTCTTTGAAATACTCACAAGCTTCAACTAGGAAGCCTTGCTCAAGAAACCCATTAATCATGATGACAAAGGTGTCAACACCAGGACTAAGCCCACTTGCTTCCATTTTACTCCAAAGCTGAACACCTTCCTTGACCTCTCCCAACTTGCAAGCCAACCTAATGACTGTATTATAGACGTGAAGATCAGGAATGCAACCAATCTTCTGCATCTCATTCATCAGTTCCATACACTCTTCCAGCTCTTCCTTCTTTTCATGGGCCACCATAATATGCTGATAAATAAGCTGATTTGGGGAATGGCCTTGCTGTATCATCTGATCCAAAAGCTCATAACCCCTTTTGATTTTTCCCCACTTGCAAAATCCACTAATCAATGTGGAATAGGTTACATCATCCACATGACAACCATTTCTCTGCATCTCAAAAAATAATCGCATTGCCTCCTCCAATCGTTCATGTTTACAGAGTGACTGGATCAAAATCGTGTAAGAAGTTGCATTTGGTTCACAACCTTTCCTTCTCATCTCTTTCAAAAGATCATAAGCATCCCCCATTTTCCCAGCTTGAGCATACCCACTAAGTAAATTGTTATAAACCACAATATCTGGTTCAATGTCTGCATCCTTCATCTGCACCAACACATGTTTAGCTTCCACAAGCTTCCCTTCCCTACACCAACCATACAACAAGGAAGTAAAATGTTTGACAGTTGGTGGAAATCGATATCGCATGTCCTCAAAAAGAGAAGCTGCTTCCTTAATGCTTCCATTCTTGCACAATGCATCCAACAAACATCCAAAAACATATTCATCTGGCTCACACCCATACTTGGGCATTTCATCCAATACTTCAATAGCCTTCTGAACCATCCTTGCAGAAGCAAACCTCCTCATCAAAATAACAAACACTTGTGGTGACATCAACTGAGGGTTCTCTTGCCTCATTTCTTCAATCAGCGCCCAAACAGCACCAAATTGCCGCATTTTACTCAAAACTTTAATCATAGCTTTGTACACTTCCTGACTGTGTTGATAACTGGATTGCTTAGAAGCCCATGCAAAGAATCTATATGCCAAATTCCCAGCGTCACCACATCGATTCAATACACGCTCAGTTAATCCAGACCTCACAACAACTCCAGATTCTTTCAGAGCAAGCTCCAATTTGGGAACCCTTGAGTGGTATTTTCTCAATATTCTATAGACCTTTTCCACATCAGAAGCAAACTCATCATGGCTTTGGTCATTTATATGGTTTACTGGACTGGCATCTAGGCGAATGAGGTCAAACTGAGTTGTTAAGCCATTGTTGATGCTGTTACTACTGAATCTTGTGGATTTATGGTTTGGTGGTGACTGCATAGAGATTTGAGAAGAACTTACCTCAGAACCAGTAGAGAACAGCTGATAAATGATATTTTCATGCCCAATGGCCAATGGTTTTCTCAAGGGAAGAGGTAAAATATCACATTTATAGAAAAGCAACGTTTTTGCCGATAATCTCCGCATGTTCTTTTCTGGTTTCTGCCTTTTTTCACTTGCTCAATTTCAGTGCAAAACTTTATTTTGTTGCATATTCCTGAATCCCTAGGAATAGTAAGTTTGATGCTGACCTTCCTCAGTCAAAGGAGATGTCTTGATCACTGCAATTATGGATAACAGGGAGGAACATCTTGAATATGGACGTAAGACTCCTTAAATGGGGAAGCTTTACCATGTCTTGTGGAATGTACTTGCCTCCTAGACATTACTTCTTCTGTGAAAGAGCTTCCTGCAAAATTATTAAAAAGGGTAGTAAATGGATAAAATATGATATCAGAAGCAAGATTCAAGACTTTCACCAAACTTCCAAAGCATCTACATTTTATATTGACATTTCAAATCCCCAGATATAATAGTTATGGAAATATGCAGATTAAACCAAGGAATTTAATCCCAGATTTTGACCCGAGTCCAAAACAAGAATGCCTTAGTCTCTTAGCTAAGAGACAGCAAGAATGATGCACATGTTTCATTCTCTATACTGGTATAGTAACAGAATTTGATCTTCCAATATCCACTGAAAACAAAATTATGCAGTAATGTAATTCATATTTACGTATAAATATATGAAAGCAAGTGCCCCTAAAGTGAAGGAACTAGTGCATTCAAGGGTGAAGGTCATGCTAGGATAACATAATGCAAGGAACTTCAACTAAAGAGCAAAAGTAAAGAGTTATCAAAGCTTTTATACCCACTTGTGTGTATGAATTTTTACCCACAAGCCTTTTTACCTCGAGACCGAAGGGACTTTCTATTGCAAATTATAATAAGGGAGTAAATAAAGAGCAAAAGTAAAGAGTTACCAAAGCATGAAAGAAGTTAAGCAAATTCACTACAAGCATTCACAACCAATTCGTCCACACACAGCTATCCAGATACCAAATTAAAAAAATAACTTGGACTCTCATTCAAATTTCAGTCTTCAAGAAGGACCAAAACAGAGCTCAAACGACGTCACATTACATACCCAAAGAAACCCTCAAAAGCTATTATTATTAAAGGAAATTGGGAAAATAAACCGCAAGTGAGAGAAATTGAAAACCTGAATGTGGACGAAAACGTATAATATTGCCCGTGAATTCTTCTTTGCAATGAGTTGAGTTTATCCTATGATGGAAAATGTATAATTTCACACACTGGGTTTAAGCGCATGTTAAACGACTCGTCGTGTGCAGTAACTTCAGAGCCATGCGTTCCTTCTTTGTTACAAAACGACATTGAAGGCCCGTTTTGGAAAATCTGAGGCATTCATGTGTGCAGATGAGTGGCTCAACGATGATGAAGCTTGTGCCGCTTGGATCCTAAGTTTGAGTTATATTACTCTGTCGGGTCGGGTAAAAACCCGGATCCGACTGTTTTAAACCATTGTTAAGGGTAATATAATGAAATCCGGTTAATGGGATGGACCCAATTCGTGCATTGTCGAGTTGGGTCAGAGCTTTATTTGTTCGTCATACGTACCCGCCCCAACCAAATAACACCTAAATTAAAAATGTTGTCACTTAATATAACTCCATATCAATTTCTATACACAAATAAAAGTTCTTAAACAATGTATATTATATTAAATAAAATAAAGAGATAAATTTTAAATTTTAAAATTATGAAAAAAATATAAGATATAGTTTAATACTAATTAAAAAACAAATGTTTAATTTATAAATGATTATTTAAAATTATTAAGATTAGAACTAATCCCTAAAAATGTTCTCGTTCAAAAATTAGTATTTATAATTTATATGTGGAGGTTGATATTAGAAAACTCAAAATTTAATTTATGTTATATTGGTAATAAATATTAAATCTAAAAAAATTCGCTTAGAACAATAAAAATCAAAACTAAATTCTAAATATTTCTATTTGAAAAAACATCTAAAAATGTTCTAGTTCAATAATTAGTATTTACAAATTATTTATAGAGATTGATTATTTTATTTTATTATTATCTTAATTCCTAAAATAATTATACACCAATTACTCTTGAAAAAATAATCATCTAATAACTTTAAGAATTAAAATAACAGTTTTATTATTTTTGATTCTTAAGATGAAATTAAAAAAATTAATAATAATAAATTTTGTTAAAAAATAAAATATTAGTTATTTTTTTGTATCGCTAATACAATAAACACTATTTTATTCGATAAAAAATTTCTTATTTATTTAACCTTGGCCTAAAGATTAGGTTAACATTTTTTAAAAATAATTGCTGCTAAATAATCTCAAGGTTTGAAATAATGATTTTTATTATTTAAAAGAAATAAAATCAATTGTTATTTATAGTTTAATAATAATAACTTAATTAAAGATACTAATAATATAAATTGTTTACATGATTATCTAATTTAAAATTGTCTTATTAATAAAAATAAATAAATTTAATAATATTAATTTAAAATTTATTTTTATTATATATTTTAATTAAACTCATTTTGTAAACTATAATTTAAATATATGTTTAGATGAAATTATTTTTCATACAATAATTATTTATTTTAAATTTTCCCCTCAAAACTGTCAGGAGCAATAAGCAGTTATTTAAAAAAAAAAAACCATTTAATCATAAATCAATTTTTAATGTATATTTAAAAATACATAATAAAAGTTTATCTGTAGTAAATTTGTAAAATTTAATATATGAATGATATTAGATACTATTATTTTTAATAAAAATATTATTTAGTAACATTTTATACTCATGAAAAAAAAAATAGATTGGGGTTATTCCTTACTTATTAGGAGGCACTTAAGAGTTGAGCCTCAACCGCAGGGTTGCTAGGGATAAAACGAAGGAAAACGGGTTTGGTTTTCAATTTTCAGAGTTTTCTCCGAACGACAAACAACAAGTCACACACTTCCATGGCAAGAGATGGTTGCCTCGCACGTGTCACAGCCGGCGCCGCCATGGGTGGTGCTGTCGGCGGCGCCGTCGGTCAGTCCCTAAGTTTATATCTATTTTCTGTTTGTGGCGCAACATCTATTTTTTTAAAATTATAGTTATATATTTTTTATCCTTTAATTTCGATGCTTTTGGCACTTTCTTTTGTTATTTGCTTTGAAGAGAAGTTTGATACATTAATTGCGCTGATTTGATTAGAGAACCTTATATTCCTCTATGCATGTCGGTTTAGTTGGTTCTGATGATGGTCGTGTTGAACTGGATTCAAGGGTGTTTGGTTCGAGAAAATATTTTGTTATTTTCCCAAATATTCAGTTTTCAAAGATTTGTAATGTGGAGATAGGATCTTTGAAAGTAGCAAGTAAGTTAAAATAGGATAACATTTTTATAATTGTTTTTGAAAATAAAAAATGATTTTTCATAACCTAAAAGACCCTTAATGCATGGCTGTGTCCATTAACTAATATCCTTAGGCTACTAGTTGAGAATTTAATAAATAGAAAGCTTTTATTCGAAATCATGTTAATTGTGTGAAAATCATGTAAAGAGTGCATTGTTACCCTTTTGAATAAAAAAATTGTTCTTTTGATTTCTGAAAGTGTACTGGTTAGTATTTGCCATAAATTAATTATTCTTGAGTATAGAACTACGCTTTTGAACCAAGAGCTTTAGCATGAATTGTATCCCTTGGGAGTAGTTGATACTGGGTTTAAATTTGACCAGGGCCAATTTGTTTAAGCTTTATCCTGTTTATTCCCTCTCTAATTTGGTCTTAGACATCCTTTCTAACCAAATAAATAAATAAATTTTATGTTGAATATTTATGCTCCATTTTCTGTCTCTTGGGTATCCAACTCTCCGCTCCTCTGGAATTTGTTGTTACCAGTTGTAATGTTCTATTATTTGATCTGGGATGTTTTATGTTCCTGGACCTTGGGGATTCAAATTTAAGACATTGATTTTGTGTTCTATTTTCATAAAGTTGTTACAAGAGGACATTTCTATGGATGTCTCTCAATTCTAGGCACATGTAATGTTTGTATGATGTGTCTGGGATCTTTTTTAGTAAAGTCTTGAAATTTTGCTTTGTAGAAAGGAAAGGGGACTGAGTGCTTCCCCCCCCCACAATGATTTGCATCTTGCTTTGTACTTAATGCCCAGTTTACAGTCGTGCATAAATTCACCTTTACATTTGATTCCTCAATTTTTTTAGTAAATTGAGGTGGGCACTCAATCATAAGTGTATAATGGTTGAACCTCATCTATGAAGTTTTATGAAGCCGCACTCTCTGGAATCTTGCTTCAAAAAGTAGTGGAAATTGTCAGCCTGGTGGTTATGTAAAACTGACTAACTATTAATTGCTGAAATGTTATAGTTAAATTCATCTGTAGATTACATTCCTCCTGGTTTTTCATTGGATCTAATTCACTTCAATTTAAAAGTTTTAGCACATCATTACCTAATCTGTTGGTTTCTTTCCAGGTGCTGTGTATGGAACATATGAAGCTATTAGGTATAAGGTATGTCATGTAATCTTGTTCTGAACTTCAATAATAAGATTATTTAGAGCTTCAGTTTTGCCTTTCATAGTGATGTTATGTCTCCTCGTAGATTTTTCAGACCCTTGCCTTTTGTAATATGAAAAATGTCTTAAAATTTTGTCACTATTAAATATAGAGTGCTAAGAAGAAAAACTAATTGTTTGGTTTTCTTTTAGCTTTGGTTACATGGAACTACAACTGCTTATTGTAAGACATAACACGAGTAACAAACAGATGATATTTGTTCTACAAAATATAAGGGCTGCAAAAGATTGTCATGACTCATGTATTTTTGTATATCTTGAAGGGGTTTATTTATAGAGATTAGAGACAGTGCAAGAATCTACTTGTAGTGCCACTTCCTAGCTGAACCTTTTTGAATTGGAACTGAAGATAGACTTCTTAATTAATGCAACTAGCAGAGCTTTTTCTTCTATTTTTATTGGTTGAGGCTGTGGTTGGAGTTCATTCTGTTAGGTGTTGTAAATTCATGTTTACTTCCCTGTTCATGTATTTGTTTTAATTTGTGATCAATGTAGTTTTGCTTTTAGAGACGTAACATGAAAATAAATTCTTTAACACGTTCAATGTTGTGCACTAGAAGCATACAAGGAATGCAGTAAGTTGGTATTACTGAAGTCTGTCATCTATTTTGTATGGCAAGTATATACAATCTTTTTCTTGTCAATTCTTTATTCAGAGGGGGTCTTTTGTTTTTTATTGACGACCAGCTATCCTATATGGTAGTGATTGATGGGCCTTAAAGGAACAACACGAAAAAAAAGTCAGAGTAGCAGAAATGAGAATGCTAAGGTGAACGAGTGAGACATGAGAAAAGACAAGATACAAAATGATATTATACGAGGGAATATATCCACCTGCCATTCATAGGCTTATCCCTCTTAGATTGTTCTGGCAATCCTTCCATAGGTTTTGATTTCTTTTATTACTTTGCCAATCTGATGGATATGGTCTTATTATTATTTATATAGCGAAAAGCACTCAATCAGCTCTCCCTAATGTGCTATTATAAACGAGCATATTAATAACGATTTATGAATTTGTGAGAACTTGATCCCTTGATTTCTCAGTTCTCACTTGCACATCCTGTAGTTTGTTTAGAGGATTCTGATTCCACCTCAGCCAAAATAAGAGAAGAAAAGTTTAACTCAAGTTACCAAAACATACCGATAGAACTGGATCAAAACAGAGAAAGTAACGGAGAAAATAAATGAACTTGCAACTCAGGGTATTTGGGAGACCCTGTTCTCTCCTCACTCTGTAAGAGTCTATTCCTTTTCTAGATGACAAAGATACGTTTCTCTCTCAATCTTCCTCTTATTTATTAAGACCTTGTGCCTTATTTTTTCTACAATTCCAGCCTGCTCAACTACTAACTAATTCAAGCTAACTAACTAACATGTATTTAACCAACATATCACAACTAACTACCAATGGAATTTACCTAACAGGATATATCTTAAATCTTTTGTATGGATATTGATACACATTGTTGTAAATGTGAAAATGAGCTACTTCTTTTCAGAGTTCATGCATAGCAGCATTTCAATTTATTAATTCATTGAGATGCAGGTACCTGGACTTTTGAAAATTAGGCATATTGGACAAACTACACTTGGAAGTGCTGCTATTTTTGGTCTTTTCTTGGGTGCTGGAAGCTTGATACATTGTGGGAAATCATACTGAGCATAAAGATTTGTCCTCTCACTTACTTACAGAGCTTTGGTTGCTGCCCTTGTAAAGTATGAGTAGAGCAGGGATTTACTGTGTTTTTTTTTTTTTTCTGGATCTTGGAAAAGGCTTCATGGCACTTCTCCTTTAGTATGAAATTTCTCATTTTTTTACCCTGGAAAGTACTGTTGAAATTTCTATGTGGGGGCTTTCCTTTTACTTTTGATTCCTCTCCTTTCATGTTGAGACAGTAAATTGCATTTGCAATAAAAGGAATGCATGTGTGTGTGTTGACAATGTTGGGTTTATGTTTCTTACTGTCTCTTTCTTTCATGCTGTGTGTATGTTTCATGACCCAGGCTGTCATTAAAATACCCATTGGGCAATGGTCTAATTCCATCTCTATTTCTGCCTAGAAAGCAGTATGCGAGTAACTGTTATAAAAATTCTTTGTAATCTACCTGCTCCACTTTGCATATGTACTAGATGTAAAGATGAACTTTTGAGTGTGTTCCCAAATTCATTCAAATGATGGGGTTTGGATTAGATGCAAGGGAGAAAAAGAAATGATTAAATATAATTTTTTGTATTATACAATTTCTTCTGTTAAAAGAGAAGCTCGTTACATTTTTTTGGTTAAGTGCTGTTTCAAAACAAAGCTATCGGATAACCCAGAGAAACATTGTTTCATAATCTACGTGCCTGTTTTTATTGGAAGTAAGAATTCCTTCATTCTGTTCAACGTACTTCGATTCTGGGTCACGACCAAACAAAAACTCCTGGGCATGTGAATGTCAATTTAAAGAGGCCGTATGTCTTGTTTCATAATCTCCATTTTCTGGGATTATATAACGGGTCTCGATTTGGTAATTTGGTATGGATAAAATTGCCAATTGGTAATTTCGTATTGATAAAATTCTGTTGATATTCGAAAACTCACTGGTCATTTGACCTATTATTACATTAACCTCAGCTGCTAGCTAGGTATACAACCAATATGGCAGTATAAATTGCAACAACTATGATTCATAAACATCTACAGTGTTAACACCCATCAAAACCTCTCATTTCTCTCTCTCTGTCTTCCTATCACATCTATCAATTTTCTATCTCTTTCTCTCCCTGGGTGTAGACAGTTTCATGAGTATCTATAAAACATTTTTCAAATTATAATTCATGCTCCCTCCGAAGAAGCACCGTTGATTATTAGGTGTGGCACCGTTGATTACATTAACAGTTATCACCAATAATCCCTGCAAGAACAGCTCCCATCCCTAAAGCAATGAAACCTGTGAGCATCTCTAACCGTGATTTCCCTGCCAGTGATGGCTGAAATAAGTTTGATGGCATTGTGGCAATCGCCACAAATTCTTAGGTTCTTCACAACCAGTATAGGCACCCCTTCTTGGGTGGAGATAAGGCCAAATGCAACTGCTAGCTTCTCACTGTGATATAATAACCTTCTTTCTTTCTCATCTGCTGCTACCTCTTCATCTTTCACCAATGCCCATCTTACATCTGGAACATACCCTGCTTGCTTCATTTTCTTTAACATCTCCCCCATGTACTTATAAATCTCTTTTATCATTGGATGTGAAGTGTCTTCAGCTACGAAGACATGCATCTTCTTATCTACCTCAATCCAACTACAACCTGGTTTCTTCTTCACTCCTCTTTCCCGCATTTTCATTTTAACTGCTGCAGCCTCTTCCCATCTGCCGGCACTAGCATACATATTTGAAAGCATTACGTACGGAGCAGCATTGCACGGTTCCAGCCGGATGAACTCATTGGCTGCTTTCACAGCCAGCTCGACATTTCCATGCTTCCTACACGCACCAAGCAAAGCAGCCCATTCAATAGAACAGGGATTAAATGGCATTGTCTCAATAATCCTCTCAGCCTCCTTGATTTTCCCTGCCCGACCCAGAAGATCTATCATGCATGAATAATGTTCTGCTTGCGGTTCTATACCAAAATTTTCTTTCATCATGTTGAAATATTTCTGACCCTCTTCAACTTTTCCAGTGTGTGCACATGCAGTAAGAACAGATATAAAGGTTATGCTGTTAGGAGCAATACCCGTTTGCAGCATCAGTTCAAAGAGCCGGAGTGACTCAACCTCAACACCATGCTGTGCATACCCTGCAATTATTGAATTCAATGATACTGTGTTATGCTCCGGCATTGTATCAAACACCCTTCTTGCATCATTAACATTCCCACATTTAGAATACATTGCAACAAGAGCATTATTCACCGAAACAAGATTATAAGGAATGTCTGATTTGATTGCCAATGCATGGACTTGTTTACCCGCAGAGGGGGATGACAAATTAGAGCAAGCACTAGTCACACACACAAAGCTACAATCATCCGGACGAAAACCATCACGCTGCATCTCCCGAAAACACCAAAGACCTTCTTCAGACAAGTCTTCATACTGCGAAAATCCAGAGATCATTGTGTTCCAAAGAACCAAATCCAGTGCAGAAATCTCTTCAAACACCTTCCTACATTCCACCATGCCACCAGCACACTTAGAATACAAATCAATCAAACCACTCCCAACATGAGAATTCCCATGGAACCCACTCTTAATCATCATCCCATGAAACTGCATCCCCCCAATCAAATCCTTAACACTAGTAAATGCGGTCAAAACACTAGCCATAGTAAACATGTCAAACCTCAACCCCATCCTACCCATCTCCCTAAACAACCCCACTGCCTCCATTCCTTCCCGGTGCTGACCACACGCCACAATCATCGCATTCCATGACACCTCATCCCTGCCCCCACCCTCCCCCAACTCCTTAAACACCCTCCTTGCCTCACCCAAAAACCCCTTCCTACTATAACATGCAAGAACCGCATTATTCACAGACACATAACAATCATACCCACACACCACCACAAAACAATGCAGCTGCCTCACCAACCCAACATCACCACTGCACGCGGTGATCATGCCCGACAACGTGAACCCATCAAGGTCCAAACCAGCCTCCCTAACTTCCTCAAAGAGCCTCAAAGCGGGCCCACACTCACCCCTATCAGCATAAGCAGCTATAAGGGTGTTATAAGACACCAAGTCTGGCTGGGGAATTTTATCAAACAGTTGCTGGGCAAGGTGGATAAGGGAGTGTTTGGCATATGCATTGATAAGGGTGTTGTAGGAGAAGACATTGGGGTATTGGGTGAGGTGGAATGAGGTTTGGGCCTTGTGGAGGGACCCACATTTGGAGTAAAGGAGTGTGAAGTGGTTGGAGAGGAAGGTTGAGGCTGGAATGAGGGACTTGAGGTAAAGGGCATGAAGGGCTTTGCCTGTGATGAGGTCTCTTTGGGCTATGCAAGTTTTGAGAACGTTGCGGAAGGTTTGAAGATGTTGAAGTGGGTGTGTGCATGGGAATTGAATCATCTAATAATGTGAGATATTGAGTCCAAAGAGAAGGTAATGAACAATGATGCCTATCGTCATGGCTTATGACTTCAACTAATCACTAACACCTCCATGGAATCGCGTTCTAGTTTTTCTGCGCCACTACACTACCAACTATTGAGACTTCCCTTTTGGAGGTTTCTTTTCTTCAAAAGGAAAATTCATACAGCTTACTGTTGAACAATCCTTTATTTTATAGTTCATGAAACTATAAACAGTTATTAAAATAAATAAAAAAACTCATTAAATTAGCTTCTGAAATTATAAAAAGAATATTTAATCCTTAAAATTATTAAAAATATTTTATTCTGTGCTTTCACGTAAAATCTGTAAAGAAATTATGAAATCACTTTATATTAACATAAAATTGTTTCATTTCATAATAAAGACCCCGGTGATACTAAACTTGTTATATTGATAATTTTAAAGACTAATTTTTTTTTTGGTGATTTTGGGGTAAATTATAGGAAACATGTAACTTTAAGAATTGAAATAATTAAATTTTATTAATTTTAATGACTTCTCTTTCAAATTAAATTGATTAATGTATATAATTGTAAATGCTAAAATAATTAATTTCTTATAACTATGGTAATTAAAAACAATCTAATTTTGAAGACTAAATTCGACAACTTATAATTTTAAGAAAAAAATTTGTTTCCTTCCCTGCTTATTTACTCATGTGTAGTTCATATTTTTAACTTTTGAAACTGTCAATAAGATTAATTTGACTCATTTGAACAAGGGTAACATATTTTTAGATTAGGTTGGATCAATTCAATTGTGCATTAGAAATTTATTAGCTTAATTCAACTTATATTTTGTTAATTTTCACTGAAATAAAAGATCAAGTCAAAATAAATACGACTAACATTAAGTAAGCAAGTTACGATAATGACTGAAATCATTATTAAAAGAAAGAAAAATGGGTAGGAGGTTAATGAAGTAACTTGTACCATGTTAATTAAAGTTTAAATTAAGTCAGGTTAGAATTAAAAGTCATAATATTCAGAATTTAATAAAACTTGAGTAAATTAAATTGTAGATTTAAAACTTGTTAGTTAAATTTATCATGACATTGAAAGATAAAGAAATTGACTCATAAAACTCTCTTTCTCACTCTTTATATATATATATAGACTTTTTAACATCGTTGTAGTTTTACATTAATTTATTAAAAATAATATTTAATATTTAGATCAGAATTCTCGCTCGTTTTGACATAAATTAGATGATTTAGTCAAATAAAATTTTGTATTTTTATTTAAGTAAAGATGTAAAATCAACGTGACTGAACAAGTTACGTGAGAGAATCTGGATCCTGATATTTACTGTATTTGTAATTATCAATATTCGTCATAAATATTTTTATCATTATATATTTTTTCTAACATGACAATTAAACCTCATAGAATAAATTTAATCAATATAAATAGAGGTCTAAATCAATTCAATGATATCTAATTATCATTAATTTAGATGTTAGTTTCAAAGTTAAAAGATTAATAAGTAATAACCTATTAACTTTAACTTAGTAACATATTTTTTTTAAAAAATTTATCGGTTAATTTTTTAAAATTAAAACATTTTCTAAATTAATTTATAAGATATTTTTTACATTTTAAAGAACAAATTAATAACAAAACATATATTAAAAATATGTTACAAAAATTTTGTGATTAGAGTTTTTTTCCTATCTATAATATACTTTCTCTCTCAAATATATTTTTAACATACTTCAATTGGTCAAAAGTTATTAAACATAACAAAATATATGAAACAGAAATATTAATTTAAAATTAAAAAAAGTAATTGAACTCACATTATTTGTATAGTTTTTAATAAATTTTAATTAATAATTAAAAGTATATTGCTAGCTATCTTCTTCTCCTAAACCAATCAACCTAATATCTCTTAAGTAGATATTATCCTTCAATTCTACCGTGTATTTGCAATATGCTTTTGTCTCAATTAGAATTTAATTTAATTTAGTCTAATAAAATAATTTATATTAAATAAGATAATTTATATTTTATGATTTTATTTTTAAATATAATTAATATTAAAAAATTTAAAATAAATAATAATTATAGTAAACTAAGACTAAATTAGTATATTAGTTTTTAACTCTTGATTTTGTTTAAGATTAATTTTTTAGCTTTTCTAAAATTTAGGGGACCAATTTACTAATTTAGCTTAAAATAATTTTAAAATATCAACTTCTAAATTAAAATTATAAACATAAAAATTTTGTTAGCTTCGATCTTCAATTTTAAGTTTAAAATAAAAATATATTTAATAAAAAATATTTATTATACTTATATTATAAATGTATAATAAATATTATTTTAATGAAATATATATTATTATTAATTCTTATCTTTATTCTTTGGAATTAAGGTTGACATTATTTAAATATAATTTAAAATAGTCATAATTCTTTTAAAATAATTTAAAATAAAATTGATATACATATAAATAAGAGATAATATAGATAATGAACTGACAAGTAAAATAAGTTAATATAATAAACTCATAAATTTATATTTATACAAATATAAGGTGCATGGTGATTTTATGAATAAGTCTATACATGTACCAACTTATAAGTTTAATTTAGATAGAATTGGATTTTTTTTAAACTAAACTTAATTTTTTATTTAATTCAATAACAAAAAATGGTCATTTTTTTACTCAATCAATTTGTAGATTGTTGGGTTATGATTATGTTCTGTCCATATTTTAATAGTTTAATTAAATTAATTCGGTTTACGCATATCCTAAATAATTAATATATATATATATATATATATATAGATAATAAAATTTAATGTAAAAAATAATTATCATTATGGAATTTTATTTAAATTTTCAAAATTTAAAAAATAATTTCATATAATTTTTAAGTAATTATGTAAAATTCAATTAATTTTAAGTTTTAATCATATGTATATGTATATATATATATATATATATATATATATATTACTTTATATGTAAATCTAAATATATTTTTATTCTTAAAAAATTAAATTAACAATTTTCTTTTTATAAAATTACTTATTGAAAAAATTAAAAAATTTAAATACTGTATATAAAAGAATTAAATAATAAAAATTTAAATTGTCCGTAATTATTAATTCTCGAATCCAAACACCCCAATCTTAGAGTACTAGTTTACACTGTGTAAAAAATAGCAAAATAATTTTTTCGGGTTATTTTGGACAATTTCTCCCTCGACGAGATTTTAAAATTCTCCTTGAACCCCAATCCTTCTGCTGAAACCCAAACCCTTCTCCGACGCAGCATCTTTGTTCTTCGCTGCAATTTCTCGTTCATTTCTATTAATCGAATTAGGGTTTTGCTTCTGTCCAACTCAGTTAGGGTTTCTCTCGGGATGGCGAGAAAACACGGTAGTGAATCAAGTGAAGACGATGCAAGGAAACGCAAGAGCAGCGATTCCAGCGAAGACGATGAGAGAGATAGAGATAGGGATTCGAGAGAAGGAGGACGAAAAAGAGTTAAGAGAGACGATAGAATGCGTAACGATAGGGATAGAGATGAGGGAAGGAAGAGTAGGCAAAGGGAGAGAAAGAGAGAATCTGAGAGTTCGGAGGAAGAGGAGGGTCAAATTGTGAGTAAAGAGAGGGTTAGAGAAGAGAAAGAAGAACGTGAGAGAATGCGTCGGGGTTATGACCGAAGGCATGATGAGGATGGAAGAAGAGTGGAGAAAGATAGGCACAGATCGCGAGAGGTTCGTGATAATGGCGATAGGTGGCGCGGAGGTGATGAGGATAGACGGAGAATTAAGGATCGTGAACGCCGTTCACGGCGCGGTTCCGTGGAGGAAGATGATAGGGAGTTTGAAAGGAAATCAGAAAGGGATAGGGATAGGGATAGGAGGCGTAAGGTGGAAAAGGATCGTGACAGCGAGAGGGATCGTCGTGCTCGACACGATTCGGACGAGGAAGATGATAGGGACAGGAGGGGAAGGTTTGGAAAGGATGGAGACAATGGGAGGGATAGGAGGGATGGGAGGGATGAAGAAGGTCGGAAGAAAGAGGATGGAAATGGGAGAATTGTTGAGGAGGTGAAACCGCAACGGCGGTCGACGGTTTCGGAAGGGAATTTGAATGGTAATGTGTCTAATTTGGGAAAGAGTGGAGGTGTTTACATTCCTCCATTTAAGTTGGCAAGGATGATGAAGGATGTTCAGGATAAGAGTAGTGTTGAGTATCAACGGTTAACTTGGGATGCTTTGAGGAAGAGTATTAATGGGCTTGTGAACAAGGTTAATGCTACTAATATAAAAAATATAATTCCGGAATTGTTTGCGGAAAACTTGATCAGGGGAAGAGGATTATTCTGCCGGTCGTGCATGAAGTCGCAGATGGCTTCTCCTGGATTTACGGATGTTTTTGCTGCGTTGGTTGCTGTTGTGAATACTAAGTTTCCTGAAGTTGGAGATCTTTTGCTTAGAAGGATTGTTTTGCAGCTTAAGAGGGCTTATAAGCGCAATGACAAGGTATGCTGTTGCATTCCTTTTCTGCTGATTTAATATGAAGTTTTTTTTTTTTTTTTTTTAAATTATTGTTTTGCTTCTGACTCTGTTTTTATCCTTTATAGCCTCAATTACTGGCAGCTGTCAAGTTTGTAGCACATTTGGTGAATCAGCAAGTGGCTCATGAGATCATTGCTCTAGAGTTGCTCACTGTTTTACTCGAGAAGCCGACCGATGACAGTGTTGAAGTAGCTGTTGGTTTTGTTACTGAATGTGGTTCCATATTGCAGGATCTCTCGCCTAAAGGCCTTCATGGTGTGTATTCCGTTTAACTATATGGCTATAGTGTGCTTAGGTTTTCATTTCTAAATATGATCGCAACTTTGTCATTTGTCTTTTTCAAAGCTCCTATCATACTTTATTTTACATCATGGATCCTTTTTCTTTGTGTCATGTATTAACTACTTCACGAAAGCATGCTAAAGCTAGGTCAATGATTCATATTTCGTTAATATTGCCTCCTCCTCTTCAAAAGAGATGGGCAGAGTGTTATCAAGGGTTTTTAGGGCCTTGTTTGATTTCTGTTTTCGTTTTCAATTTTTAAAACTTGTCTTTAAAAAATTGTTTAAGATCAATTTTTGAAAACAAACAAATTTTGAAAACATTAGTGATGACTTATCTGGCAGGAAAATTATAAGTTTTAGAAACTGATGAATTCTTTGCATATCAATCTCAACAGTTTTCATCCAATTCACAAGCAAATGGTGAGAGGAGCAGTGTTATCAAGGGTTTTTAAGTTGCCAGTTGCATGAAATTCCGTTTTTTTGAGGATGAATATTAGGTCAAAGAAACAAGGTAGATTAGACCAAATGTGAATTGAAGGTATGTTAGATGATATGTAGTTTGCTAGGAAAAGAGTGAAAATGAATATGGTTGGGGTGCTGTGATTAGTTAAAATAGGAGCCTGAGTCCCTTATTGATTGAGTGTCAGCATGCAACTCTTATTTAAAATATCATAGCTGTGTTATCATTTATTACTAAAATCTGTGTATAACTTATGTGAATTGTATTTAGTAATTGGGTTCTGAGAGTTAAATTTTTTGAATTAATTATAATGCCCAAATAAAATATATATATATATATATATATGATCCAGATATATGTGGAGACTGGGTAACCTTGCTTTATCGTATATTTTTATCCCATTTGTTGGTATTTCCTTTTTCTTAAGGGGAGATCTATTACCTCCAATGCCTCTACAATTTCTCCTTTTATCTTAATATATTTCTTCTTTTATCAAAACCAAAGAAAAACTAATTATGTATCTGATTAATGCTCTATCCAAGTGCATCCACTTGCTTTGGGTCTTCTGCTGGTTTACACTTGTTTATATTCCTGGATACTTGCAGAAATATGCTAATGCAAGGCAGTTATGAATATGGGCAAATGATGTTTGAGATCAATTTTAGTCTGGGATATTTTTTGTTGAGTTTGATTTATAATTTTGCAGGTATCTTTGAGCGTTTTCGTGGAATTCTTCATGAAGGAGAAATTGACAAACGTGTTCAGTTTCTTATTGAAGGCTTATTTGCAATTCGGAAAGCCAAGTTTCAGGTACTTGTTTATTGTCTAGGACATGGATAACACATTAACAAAATAACACACGTCAACTCTTCTGTAAATGAGTTTAAAGGAATAGTTTGCAATTGAAATGCATTATGGTGGTTGCTTTGCATTTACAGGGCTATCCAGCTGTTCGTCCTGAACTAGACCTTGTGGAGCAGGAAGATCAGTTAACTCATGAAGTCTCCTTGGATGAGGAAATAGATCCAGAGATTTCCCTTGGTACATTTTGTATTTTTAAGTTTATATCTGGTTCTAATTTGATCTACTTTTGTTCGTCCTTGTGATTTCTCTATTTTCTGTTTGATTTTTTCTCAGATATATTCAAGCCTGACCCCAATTTTGGGGAGAATGAAAAGCGTTATGAAGAGTTGAAGAAAACAATGCTGGGTGAGGAATCTGAGGATGAAGAAGGCTCTGATGTAGAATCAGACGACGATGATGAAGATGATGAATCTGATGAAGAGGATGAAGAAACAATGCAAATAAAAGATGAAACTGAGACAAATCTTGTCAATCTTCGGAGGACAATTTACTTAACAATTATGTCTAGTGTAGATTTTGAGGAAGCCGGTCATAAGCTTCTGAAAATTAAGCTAGAGCCTGGTCAAGAGGTGAGTTTGGAATAAGTTACTGTTCTGTTGCTAAAACTTTCTACTGCCTGCCCTTTTCTTATACTAAATGTTTATTAGGGTACACTAAATTATTATATAATAATATTTAAGAATTTTCAAATTCTTTGAAAGAGCAAGCTACATCTAGTTTAACTTTTGGTGTGATTTTATTGAAAAGGTTGAAGCCCTCTTTCTTTTGGTCTGTTTGTATAAAGCTGAAAATCAATTTCTATGGAAGTCAATAATTGCTATTTGATTTTTAATTGATTCCAACTTTGACATTTGGTGTGATTTTATTGAAAAGGTTGAAGCCCTCTTATCTGTTTGTATTAAGCCCTTTTTTGACATGCTTTGCTTTTTGTGCTAAAATTGTTTCCAACTTATTTGATTTTTAATTGATTCCAACCACTTAAACATCAAAGCAAATGGACAATTTATCTCTTGTATGTAATCATTGATGTGTTTGTATCTTTACACTTGTTGATCTTTCTGATTAGGATTTAATTGTACATCACCCGCGTGCAAGTTTATTGGGTTATTCTGTTTTTATCATTATCAGATTTTGATGTTCTTTTAAAGAATCAAGGCTCCAATAACTTGATGAGTTGATGTCTTATTATAAATATTAAGTATAATTTGCAACTATACATATTACTCAGATTGAACATTCACTTCCTGCATCTGATATATCCTTCTCCATTTTTTTTGTCTCATTTTCAAACAAGTTTTACCTTTGAATTACTCAAAATAATTACAATATTATGTAATTGATTGTAGATGGAACTGTGCATTATGCTTTTGGAATGTTGCAGCCAAGAGAGAACTTATCTCCGATATTATGGTCTTCTGGGGCAGCGTTTCTGCATGATCAACAAAGTACATCAAGAAAATTTTGAGAAGTGCTTTGTGCAGCAGTACTCAATGATTCACCGACTTGAAACAAATAAACTGCGAAACGTTGCAAAGTTTTTTGCTCATTTACTTGGGACAGATGCTCTACCTTGGCATGTTTTATCGTATATACGCTTGACTGAAGAAGACACTACTTCTTCGTCGCGTATATTTATCAAGATTTTATTCCAGGTACTGATTATCAAATTCATATATTCTTCTTTGTTTCTTTATATAAGGTGCTTTTTGATTTGGATTTATTTGATTTCGTGTGATGTCCGCATCTGCGATGTACTGATAATTTTCACTTTACCATGATGCAGGAACTATCAGAGCACCTTGGCATCCGGTTGCTAAACGAGAGGCTAAATGATCCCACGGTGCAGGAGTCTTTTGAATCCATTTTCCCGAAAGATAACCCAAAGAACACACGTTTCTGCATTAACTTCTTCACGTCCATTGGTCTTGGTGGTCTTACTGAAAACTTGCGAGAGTATTTGAAGAATATGCCTCGCCTGATTATGCAACAGCAGAAACAAGTTTCAGATTCTGAATCAGATGAGGAATCAGGGAGTTCTGATTCATCAGATTCAGGAACATCTAGTTCTGAGTCAGAGTCAGACTCAGCTAATTCTGATGGAAGTGAGAGTGACAGAAGACGAAGAAAGCGGAGGAGAAAGTGAAATAATTTTTAGCTAATTCAGGAAAAGATTTTTTTTTTTTTGGTTTTGTTTAAGTGGCATGTGGATAGTGTTTTTAGTAATTAGTAACGTTTATTATAATATGTATTGCAGAATTTTAATTTAATATTTACATGTCATCAACTAATTAGAGAATATGATGGTAATGATGTGGGGAACTTGACTTAAATTTTGACCTTTATTCAATTCTAAATTTGATCGTTATGTGGCTGAAAATCGAAGGGAACAATGCTATCTTCAAGTTTTTCATTCACGATTACTCTGATTTGCATATTGGGGTCGGTTGAAGATTCTTTATATTTGTGCACAATTGTCGAAGTATTTATGTTTAATTGACATAGGGCCAGTGCCTATTAGTTTCTGGCTTGTTAGAGTTTCTGTTTGTAGTAAAAACAACACAATAATTTTAGGAGTGGAGTGTTTCCTTCATTTGTTCATTTGTTGTTATTAGAGAGTTGAAATGATCTGAGTTTTAAAAGCTTTAAATTTACGTATTTACAATATATAAATTTAACTTTTACCGACTAAACCAACCTTCTTGGCTTCCTTCTTCATTGTGTTCTTATTGCTCATAAAAAGGAAAATAAATTGTATTGATAATAGAGCTGTAAAAATGGATTAAAATTCTAGGCTTTATCTCACTAAATTCTCTATATAGCTTTATTTTTAAAAAGTTTTATAATCTTAGTTTTGACCTTAAGTTTCAATATAAAAAAAATAGTGAGCTAGAATTAAGGTTAAGGCTAAATTAGTTCACTTATTTCTAAAAATACTTAATAATTATTATATTATTTATTTATAATATTAATAAATTATTTTACTTAAATAAAACAAATTTATATTTTAAATATAAAATTAATTTTAAAATTAAAAAATATTTATTTAATATATTAAAAGTCTATCATAAAAATAATATTAAATATAATTATATTAAAAATATTATAAAATTAAATTAAATTTAACTTTTATATTTGGTAAATTTTTTAATTAAATTTAATATGTTATACTAATAATTTATGATTTTAATTAAGAACTAGTAACAAATATTTTTAATTAAACAATAATTAAATAATAAAATATTATTTAATAATTATTTTAATAAATTTAATTAATTTTCATATATTTTGATATTATTTAATGATTTTTAATAATTATGGATTCAGTTTATATATAATATAATTACTTTGAATATAAATATAAATACGTGTAATTTTAAATGATTATTTTAATAAATTTAAAATAGATATAAATATATTTTTTATTAAAAAATATAGTTGTTATTATACATTTAAAATTTAATAATTATTAAATATTTACATAAATCAACAAAAAAATATATAAATAAAAAATTAAATTATTACTTAATTTATCAATTTATATATAGTATATAAGTATATGTTTTAATTTACTATATCATTGATATTTTTTATATTATATTAATATTACATTGTATTTAATTTTATGTATATTTATTAATTTAAAATAAAAAATTAATGAAGCAATAAAAATAAATATTTTATAATTTTTTTTTTAATTTAATAGTTATTATTATTGTCGTTATATATATATATATATATATATATTTACATTGAGTTTAAATTTTTATTTTAAATTTTATCACAAATTTTTTATTAAAATAAAGGCTTAGAAGTACAAATTATTTTAATTTTAATATAAATTCTTTTAAATTAAGATGAGTCAAAAGTTAAATTTGTAAACATTCGTTAATACTTACTATGCTCATATGTTATTTTTCTGCATCTATGAATTTTATAATATAAAGTATTTTATGTCTACAATTTTTACAATGACAATATTTATTTATTTATTTTTCTTAACGTAATAATTTTCATTTAGTTGATTCAACAAGATTTGTGAGTGTTAGTTTTTGTTATCAATTTTATGTGTTTAGTGTGACTTTATTTATTGAATATAAGATATCTCTACACAATAAAATATGATCTTCACAAAAAAATAAAATATTTAATACTTCAATAATTTTATAAAAATAAATTAAGAAAAATAAAAATATAAAAATTATATAATATGGAAACATTTATAGTTAATGCTCAAATAATATTTTAAAAATTATATAAAAATTGTTATAATCATTGAATAATTATCAATAACAAAGACAAAAATTAAAAAAATATGTAAGCTAATTTGATAATAATTATATTTTTATTAATATTATTCAATAACAACAATTATTATAAATATTTAATATTATACAAATTTTATTTTTCTGTCTTTTTTAAACATTTTTATTGGACTACAAGTTTATAATTGAAATATCATATGAAATAAATATTTTTAATAGATACTTTAATAATTATTATAATACATATCAAATTTTTTGAAGTCTAAATTCTATAAGAATTAATAAAAAAATTTTGCCTATAAAATCCTAACCCTAATCCTAGATCAGAGAGCTTTTAATTTGATGGCTTTTTTAGCCTACAAGACTTTTTGACCCCAACTAATATGAGTTAGAGTTAGAGTCAGATCACATAAACTTTTTCACAGCTCTAATTAGTAAGAGTTTATAGTAAAATTTTCTTACTTCACTACCGCAATAAGGAACATTAATTCCTTTTTGACAAAAATGGGAGGGGTGAGCCCAGAGGGAATTTTTTATTTTAATAATATACAAAATATTTAAAAATTAATATATAAAATTTTAATATAATTTACTTATCTCTTCTCATTCTTTTTTATACTTCATTCTCTTATTTCAACATATCTAAATAATATATATCTTTTATTCTATTTTTCCTCCTCTTAACCTCCTAATTTCATCCTTTTATCCAAATAAACCACTAGAGTTGCTTTTCCTAAATTTTAAAACAAATAACAATTACAAGTACTTAATTCTTGATAAGCAATAAAATAACATTATATAAAGAAACAAAGAGAGGAATATTTGCGTTTGATTCTTAATACCTGGAAGAGAATCTATACAACTCTACGTGACGAAGTAGTGTCCTCTTCAGTCAAGCGTATATATGATAAAACATGCCAAGTTAGAGAATCTGTGCCAAGTAAGTGGGCCAAAAACTTTACCACATTTCGCAGTTTATTTGTTTCAAGTTGGAGAATCATTGAGTACTGCTGCACTAAGCACTTCTCAAAATTTTCTTGATGTACTTTGTTTGATCATGCAGAAGCTCTGTCCCAGAAGAAAATAATATTTTCAGAGGTAACTTCTTTTTCTTTTTTATCAGTAAAGGAGAATGAATAATATAAAATAAATCACAAGGATGTCTCCACCCTTTTACAGCACCATAAAGTTTGAGATTTTAAAAATGTATAATGTGTCTTGTGTCTTATAAATAAAGATAAAATATTGTGTTGCAACGGTACGACAAAAAAGCGTGTTTAAGAAAAATATTTTTTTAAAAATATCAGAGAAGTTGACACCAAAATTTATTTTAAAAAAATTTTGGAAAAACTTTTAAAATATGATTTTTGAAACAAAAAATGAGTTCAAGAGTTATTTACGTGTAGGAAAGGTATTAGCACCTTACAAGGTTTGTTTAAAATGGTTACCTTAGATTAGTTGTGCAAATTCATCTTAATTTTGAAAAATATTTATTTAACCCCTAAACAATTATTATTATTATTATTATTTATTTTAAATGAAGACAAATTATTTATTAAAATATTAATGAATACCTTACAAAATTATTTTGACTTGACAGGTCTAGTTCTCGCTCCTACGTATTTCTAAGTGCAATGGGGAACTCAAAGTCACGTAATTCTATCTAAAAATTATGAAATTAGTTTATTATAATTAAGTTTAGTAAAAGAATTTATTTTAAAATTAAAATTATTTTCGTAAAATTATAATATTTAGCATACAAGATAACGCGGTTATACATGTATCCTACGAGAAACAATACAGAAAGTGAAGGAAGATCATAACCATATTGTAAATCATTAAAAAATATTTTATTCGTAAATGAAGTATTTGAATTTGAATTTTGATTATGATTAATATTGAAAGAGAATTTAAGATAGCGTAAGCTATACATTAATTTCTTATAATTTTTGGACAATCGAAGACAATGTAAATCACACAACAATATTGCAAAAATTTGTATGATAAAATAAAAATGGAGAAATAATTAGTTATTTAATTTATCAAAATTAGAAATACGATTCAAGAAATTTTAAAACATGAAATTAATTTTATTTTAATAAAAAAATAAATTTATTTGAATTGATTAAAGAATATATTCATTTAATAAAAAGATTAAAAATTTCATTTGATAGATTTATATTATAAAAAACCTAAGGTAACATTGGTACACATAAGTTTTTAACAATTCATAACTCATAAAGGTAAAGTCTACACATTAGCATTATAAATTATTTCGTTAGTAAAATAATTTAAATTTAAATTAGTTGATTGATTCGTAAGTTAGTAATTAGAAGAGAATTATGTCTTGATTTATTATTAAAGTAGTTAACTAATTAATTAATGACAATATATGATAAATTAATATTGCATAAAGTTTTGGTAACGTAGGTATACATAGATTTTATTAATTTATAATACATGACTATAGAGAAACTATACGTTAGTATTATAAATTGATGCAATTATATTATTATTTATTAATTAATTATACAAAAAATAAGTAATTTACTATTCATAATATAAGAAAAAGTAAACATAAATATAAAATTAAATTGTATCAATATTCTACAAATATACAATAAATAAAATAAAAAATAACAATCCTAAAAAGTAAAAAATTAACATGATAATTAAAACATAAACAATGAAATATAAATAAAAGAATAATTTATTGTTAATGTTAGAATGAGATACATTAAAAAAAAACTCAAATATAATATTATAAAGTAAATGGTGTCAAGAGAATTAAAATAAACAAATAAATTAAAATAAAATAAAATTATTTAAACTAGGCTAACATAAAAAAAATAACAAAAATTCATTCATTAAATAAATTAATAATTATCATAATAATAAATAATAATGATGATGAATAAATAAATAAAACTAAAATAAGAAATTGTATGTTGAGCTAAATAATAAAAAGGTAAAATAAAAAAAAATTCGGACAAAAAAATAATAAAAAATAAAAAAAGGGTAAAATGGTCTAAAATTAAAAATTTTCAGATTTGAGAGAGAAGGACTTTAGTGTTAGAGGTGTGATTTTCTCCATAAAAAACAAAAAAGTTATGAAAAAGTAGAGATGAGGTTAATGAAGGTCATGATTTTGAGTGGTGGAGGTTAGTGTGAGAAAAAGAAAGAGAAGGGAGAAAAGGTAGGAAATGAGCTTCTATAGTGAGTTTTGTGTTTGAGAATAATGATGGATGAAGGAATGGGTGGAGAGATAGTAGATCTTGATGCTTGAAGTGGTGGTTTGGAAAAAAAGAAAAAAGAAAAGAAATGAATGAAAAAAAAAAAGTAAATTTTTGGATGGTTGAAGGTAGTGCGATTTTGGAGAAAAGAAAAAGATAAAGAATGGTGGAACTTATTATTATTAGTTT